CATCTATGGTGCAGGACAAAATACATTACTTCAACCAAATGATGGCCACCCATTCTGTGTGCATCTACAGGTACATTTTTTTTCAAATGAACTTATTAGTAAACCTGATACCATGGTTCTCTGACAGGTCTCTGACGTTGGAAGAAGTATTCGACAACTGTTTGTCAAACCCTGTGCACCAATTAACACGCTTTCAGATTCAGAGCCTGAACTCAGATTGAATTTAGAGCCAGAAATAGCACAGATTCCTGGGTAAGGCCAGGATCGATTGTATGAGGACCTGCTGTGCTAAGAGATCTTCATTTGAAATGAAATTCACAGAATCATTTGAAGATTCATAGGCCGTTCAAAGATAGGCTCTAGGAACCTTTTTTTTGTTTGTTTTGTTTTATTTATCAAGTCTGTACAGCTTGCAAATCTGTCGAATTAGACACATCCAAACGTACTTATTTTGAATTGTAAAATTCCATATCAAAAAACATAACATTCAAAACAATATGGTCCCTTTTACAGAATGTTTAATACTTTTTTCCCTTATTTCTGCCTCAGTCCAGATCTCTCGAGCAGCGTAGCGACTGGCAGCAGAGCTCAGCGGGTAACATTGTCTGCAAGTTATGTTCTCTGCAGGTGCCACTCACGAGTAAAGTGTTAGCAGGAGAGACACGAGTTCCTCACATGTGTCTGCACGAGCTGGAAAATCATTCTATACGGTAGAAGTTCCACCTGGGTCTCAATTTACTCTACTTTTGTAGCTCTTCAGAGTGTCTAGAATTTGGCAAATTCTTAAAGAAAATTCTTAACTTTAAGGTTGTTTTCTGCAAGTTATTTTAAGAACTACTGAAAACTGACTTCAAATTAAGACCAAATTCAACTATTTGCCACATGGGGGAATCTCCACAATTCCCTCCTGTGCTGAAAGCAATCTGAAGCTTTGAAGCGAGCCGGCTGGCTTTTTGGAATTTTTGATAAGTAAATGCCATGGTCTACACCACGTGGTAAATGCAAGTTGTTGTTGTTGAATATATTCATGTCAATGCATTGCAATGGATTTTTTGATGTGATGTGCAGACAAAAAATCAGGCCAATGGGTTTTTTTTCAAACAAGGCATTCAAACCCCAATTATTTTTTAGTGGTTAGCACAGGCTGGTGATACTTTTCAGTATGCCTTTTTTCAGAAATGACCAAAAGCTCCCTCAAGCTCTCCTCTCTAGCTCCCTTCAAACATAGCTCTGTTCTGTCACTGTAAGTGATGTCCTTGAATAGTTGATCACATCCATTAAAGCTAGATCCCTGATAGAGCTGTGGAGTCCCGTAGCTCAGTGGTTAGAGCACTTGCCTCGTAAGTGAGAGACCTGGGCTCGATTCCCAGCTGGGTGAAACCTTGGGCAAGTTTCCTTAGTCCACACACCTGATAATAATCCCTCAAGAAGGAAAAAAATAATAAATTGATCATTTCAATCCACGACTGTTTTTGGGATGCCGCTGTGTGCAATTTGGCTGCTGCGTTTCGCCCACAAAGATACTGTCAATTCACTTTACAGAACATTCTGTGAAGCGCTTTGAGACGTCTAGAAGACGTGAAAAGTGCTATAGCAAATGCAAGGATTATTATTATTTATCTAATCAAAACAGAGTTTCCACAGCTTGGCTTGATGTACCTCTGGCTACTGGAAGGTGTCCCCTTCTGCAGTCAGATTGCTTATTAAGAAATTGTATTAAGTATACAAATTAAACCCCATTATTCATTATAAAATATTGCTGAGCCTTCCTATACTGCTCAAAGCCATTGCAGTGTTCTCAGATAACAGCTCAGCCTTCCGTTATTATATAATTGCTTCTCCATTATTCTGAAGGAAATGTAGTGGTAGTTTTATTGCCTTATATTCCCATATCCATTCCCTGTCACAATTAGCGTGGATATAAGGCTCTTCACCAAAGGGCAGCCAGCATTTAGAGATGAGAACCATCTCCCTAAGGGAGGCTAACACCAACAAAGAAGTGTTTTTCTTGCTTGTAAATTAAAGCAATATTATAAAGAATTAAATATATTTTAAAAAACTATTAAAGAGCTCATTAAAAAGCAACAACCCATAGCAGCTCAATATTGCACTGGCAATTGATTAAGCTGAGAATTTAGAATACATTGATGTTTCATCTTATTACAATAACAATGTAAATATTGTCCTAATTATTTTGTCAGATAATTGTGTCTTGAACTCTAGCCTTGAGGATGCATAACAAGAGTATCCATGAATTGAGACGTGCGCAAAGGTTTATCAAAAGGCTGGAGTTCTGAACCTACAAGATGGAAATTAATTTGGTTTGGAAATGGGATTAATATTCCTGACTGAAATTGGAAACCAACGACGCAGCAACATAAATTTTTTTAAATTTTGCTTTTGTTAATTTTCTAAAACACTAAGATGTCAAAACATTGTCATGTCCTATGTTACAACAACAATAATCCTGCGGTTTGTATAGTGTCTTTCACATTAGGAGAACATCCCAAAGCGCTTCACAGGATTTACAGTGAAATGGAGTGACTGTGTTAGTCCACGGCGATTTCCATAAACTGTCATGAAACCAATTTGAGGAACTGATGGTCAGGACACCCGGAGCCATGGGATCTTTAACATCCACCCGAGCAGACAAGATATTCACAGCCTCCACTCCTGAATCACAGATAAGCCTTTTCACAAACTTTACCAGCCACAGTGCAGCACAACATTGACACTTTGGAACACCTGCCCGGAAATCTTACAACTCCAAGTGCCCATGTCGTACATGGCTGAAATAATCATGATCATACATCCATCTAATGGGAATTGAAGGTACAATGGACCCAACACTTGTCGGGGGGAGGGGGAGGGGGGGAAGGAAGCCTAGAAATTGTCCATGAGAAGTACAGCAAGTACCACTTCTTTATTCCATATGGGCTTGCATATTTTATGATACAATGCCACATCACATCCTTTGAAATATATTTGAAGAGAATATTCAATGCATCAAAGAGCAATGGCCTAATCAGCACTTGTATTGACTTTACCTGCATTGGAATCAATCCACAAAGTAACAGAGTTCATGTTGATGGCACCTTCTTCACCGAGCCAACCTTAAGCTTAGTGGAGAGAAGTGAATTACATCTCGGTGGGATGCACTCAAACAATGAATTCTTTATATTGCCTACACATGTTATTGGTATCCTGTTGGAAGATAATATCAGAGCTGTATGAGCAGGGCAAGTAAACAGAACTGGATTTCTCCACTACTATTGAAGTCAATAACTCAGATGAGAAATTATCTATGATGTTGTCCATATACTTCTACTGATTTGCTTGAAAATATTCCACTACTAGATCATGTAGTACGTTCTCTTTAGTGACAAACAAGTGCTGGAGGTGACTGGAAGAACTGGTTAAAAAGAGGAAACCCTCAGGAATATTACGAGGATATGAAATGTTGGGGTTCTACACAGCTTATACCCAACCAGAAATGTAACAGTGTAATGTTGTACTTTGTCAGGTTGCAAAGAAAACTGTTGCTCACTTCTAAACTTAATCCAAAATCACACAAATTGAATTTGATGGGAAAGATCTACTCCATCCCAATGTTCATCCCCACCACGTCCTGCAGAAAGATGTGGTCAGGTTGTCAGTTCTCCACAATATCATGCTGAGTGCATCACCATAAGACTTGCTAGCACTTAAGCCAAGCCTCCAGGGATATACCAGAAATATTGCCACTGCACACATTCTGTAACAACCGAGTGTTTTGTATAGGGTACCAGAGGTGAAGCATCGCAGGTTGCCAATTGAACTTTCTCCTGAATTGAAAGGCTCTATACAAATGTAATTTGTTGTTCTTGTTGCCCTCTGGATGGCAATCAGGGCTGGTTATTGCAATACACTTTCTGTGACAGGCTATTTTGTAATTGAGTGTAATTTCTTCCAACCATCAATCAGGTTCTAGGCACATAGGGAATTCTGAGTGCCAACAACAACAAAATTATATTTGTATAGTGCCTTTCATGTCAGGAGGACATCTGAAAGCGCTGGACAATTAATGTTTCAGACCAGAGCTGGGGGTTGAGATCAGGAAGGAGGGGGAAGGAGGGTGCTCAAAGGCACCGTCGAAGAGGAGGGTCTTGAGACGGGTCTTGAAGGAGGCAAGGGAGGGAGCGAGGTGGAGTGACTGTGGGATGGAGTTCCAGAGGGTGGGGGCAGAGTGGCTGAAGGCCGGCCCGCTAATGGTGGAGCGGGTGAGGCGGGGTATGTAAAGCAGGCCGGAGCCCACTGAGTGGAGGGAGCAAGTAAATGGCAGGAGATCACAGAGGTAGGGAGCAAGAACATGGAGGGCTTTGAAGGTGAGGACCAGGATCTTGAACTGTATCCTCTTTGTGATGGGAAGCCAGTGGAGTCGGGCGAGAATGGGGATGATAGGGTCACGGAGCCTAGTGCGGGAGAGGACACGGGCTATAGAGTTCTGGATGATCTGCAGCCTGTGGAGGGAGGAATTGGGAAGGCCGACAAGCAGGGAGTTTGCAATAGTCAAGCCTGGATGGAATGAAGGTGTGTATGAGGGTCTCGGGGGCCTGCGGTGTGAGACAGTGTCAGAGCCGGGTGACGTTGCGAAGGTGGGGGAAGGCAGGTCATGACACAGATGTGGGGTAGAAAGGATAGTTGAGGGTCAAACAAGTTCTCAAGGTTCTGGACTGGCTTAGTGAAGTGGAGTGAGCAACCACAGATGATGATGCTGTCAGTACCTGAGGTGTATAAAACAACATAAAAGGCTGCCATCAGATGGTTTGTATGACATGGCCATAAACCCATGGACTATGGCTAAGCACTCCAGAGGGTGGGGGCAGAGTGGCTGAAGGACGGCCCGCCAATGGTGGGGCGGGTGAGGCAAGGGATGTTAAGCAGGCAGGAGCCCACTGAGTATGGCGTGAAGGGTGCTATATAAATGCAAGTTGTTACTGTTGTTATGGACTATGATTTACCTCACTGAGATTGTGTTTGCTTCTTTCAATGTGCCTTTCGAAAACCTTCTCCAGGAACCTGTAAAAGAAGTGGGTAATGAATGTGGTTGATCTGGAATATTTGATGACAACAAATAGCACACTTTTTATTGGCAATTTAAAAATATAACCCCCCCAAAGAAAAACATGGCAAAAGGTTTCTGAAATATCTTCTGATATTCTGTGGGGGAAAAACATAAAAATGTAGTAACCTCAGAGCAGTTGAATTTATAGACTCCATTTTGATTTAATTTAGATTTAAAGCTCCACAGATGCATTGTTCATGTGTCACCATCAAACATTAATGAATCAGTTGTAAGAAATCACTATTAATACCTTTCACATCAAATCTTTTGGTGTTGATGTTCTAAGTAACTGGTTTGGGAAGCCACCTTCCTTCACCATGTGAGAGAGCTGAATTGTAATCATTAAAGAAGCATTCATTAATCTATAGTGCCTCAGTTTCAACTATACCATGTTAATTCAGCTCCCTTACATGACTGGCTTCAGGAAAGCCACCAGGCTGGTGCCTCATTATCACTAATCAGTATCTCATTAGCACTCATTGTTTAAACAGAGAGAGGGACGTGGAAAAAAACATAGTTAATGTGAATGGTAATTGGGTAAATACACAGGGTAATACAAGTCCTGTTATCACTGCAGTTCAAATCAGTACGAGCTGGCTCACTTTAAATAATGTGGATTACTTTGCAGGTGCAAGTGATGTGCTGTTAGGAAACCTGCTGCTGACAAAGGAAACAGCACTTGCAGAAAACTGTCGCCATGAGCTACATTACGTCGCACACAGTAATGCAGGATGGATTGTATTTCAAGGACATAATACAATCTCAGAGCCAAAATGTGGTTAGTAAACTGTATTTTGTAATGTCATCTCAATCCCTTGGTATGTTATACTCAAGTTAAGTCCTTGGTAAATCCGGTACAACGTTTAATACATTCCACATCTCAAACCAACAATAACTTGCATTTGTATAGCACCTAAAGGACAAATAGAGAGGGTTGTGGCAGAGTGAGGGAATTCCAGAGTGAAGGGGCATAGTTGCTGATGTTGGACACCTACAATGGGGCAGGAAGGTGATGTGTGAGCACCAGGCTTCAGATTCCCAAGCAGAAGGAGCAAGTCAACTGGTGAGATTGGAGACTGTAAGTCATTGGCAAAGAGTGGACAGGTTTGTAAATTGAAGCACCAGGCTTTAGAAATGTGTATAATGGTACAATTAATAGACAAGGAGTTGAAAAGCCTCTTAACCCTTCTCTCCTTTTGCTTAGCAGGAATTGACAAGGATTTGGGATTTTGAAATGTTTTACTAAATACATAAGTAAAATTGTATATAGTTAAGAAAACGTACCCATTTACTTACTTGTTAGAATGATAACCTCGGAGGAGTACATCATCTGTTACTTCTTTGAGAAACTGCAGATATTTCAATTCATTTTCCCTAAACAGAGAAGCAACCTATAAGTAAGCAGCACAATGTTCTGCACAAAAAAAATCTGACCGTTGTGGCACTTCTGGTTTTGTAATGAAGATTGACAATTATGTATTTATTCAGATACTTTATTCAGATACTTAAACATTTGATTTAACATTTAAAACATGAAGACCAGTCACTTATTCTGTCTAAAGAGTAGAGTTTTTATTGTGATGGATTTGCCATTGTTGTTTTATGTCTGTTCTGTGGTATAAATAGCAAAAATAATCAAAGTCACCATTGCGTTAATTCCTTGTTTTGTTAACATAAAATCTTTAGTAAATCTTCAGTTAGTGGTATAAGAAGAGATGAAATCATGTCTAAATGAGGCACCCCACCAATCTGTGAGATATCATTGTGACAGAAATTATATTTTTTCTTCCTGCTCTCCTTTCCCATTCATGCTCAGATATAATCCCATAAACATAAGCAACATTTCCAGTTCCCTTGTTCATGTGACCATCACAATTAGGTCATCATATTAGTCCTCCGCTCACACAGATAGCCAAGCCCAATTCTACCCCCTAACCAATTTCCACACATTTACCAGCAGATGATCAATGAGAATAGACTCCAACCTGATTTCCTTCCAATATTCCCCCCACTGCCCCCTGTCGTACTGAGTGACGCAGGTAAATTGCAGATCGAGATCAGCTAACTCAGTTCAGAGCAAAGAACAGGTGGAGGTATCTGAAGCATCATTTTGTACACAAAAAAAATCCTTTTAATCTGCTAATTTTAAAGATGTAATCTGACAGTTGTGGCATTTCTCATTTTACAATGAAATGACAAATGAGTTACGTAACCCTCACACTGCATTATTCAGATATTTAAAAAGACTTTACTCTGTTCAACATTTAAAACGTAATCTGAAGTTTTAGCCTGAAAATCTGGCTCAGAAAAAAAAAAATTCACTCCCCAGTTGAAACTAATCTTTTGGGCTTTTATATAATATGAGTAACTGCAATTGAACCGTATATCAGATGACAATAAATAGTAATTTTGGCCATGTTCACTATTGACTGTTTTAGCAGCACAGGAACATAATAGAGGTACGAATAGGCTACGAATAGGTACGTGGAGTCCTGTAGCTCCGTGGTTAGAGCGCTCACCTCGCAAGCGAGAGACCTGGGTTTGATTCCCGGGCAGGGCGAAACCTTGGGCAAGTTTCCTTACTTGAAGAACTTGACTAGCAGTCAAAGAGCTTGAAGAATCCTTTCGGCATCTTCTGAGTAAAGCATCGAACAAGGTGACTTGCAACAATTACTCCAGCAGACTGTTTCTGAATACTCTTTGAACCTCTGATACTACATACCATTCAGAGGAATGGGAGAAATTCCACTTGGGTCTAGATTTACTCTGCTTATCATTTCCGAGCATCTAGAATTTTGCAAATTCTTGAACATAGTCTTAATTTTGAACCTTTTTTCATAAATTCTTTTAAGAGCTATAAAAAAAAGCTTTAAAGTTGAGACTGAATTCAACAATTTATCAAATTCTGCACACTCTGAAATGTTAAAAAAACAGAATAAATTTTGACTTAAGTGGAATTTTCCCGTTTATATATTTCATATATATATGCTTTTACTCTACACCTCCCATCATCATCCTTGAAGAAAATAATAAGGAAGCAATTATTAATTTACTCCATAATAAATTCCTTTGAATTAACAAGTTTTGGTTTATATAAAGGAAAAGATTTCCATTATGAATAACTACTTTTCCCTACTTATTATTTTTTGTGGTTTTCCTGTTGTTTCCGCTTGTAAGTCCCTTAAGCAATGCTGACGAAAAACAAGATTCTGAATCTCAAGTAAAGTCTGGCTAAATTGTCTTATCTTCGTTGCTGAGGACAAAATACAACACAAATCGCAACTGAAAAAATATTGTCGCATTGCAACAAATGTATATGGCATTGTTTAAAAACATTTCAGTGCTATAATGCTATCCTGCTGTGAAGGCAGGTTGTTGATGTTGGTAAAGATGCATTTACTTCTGTATATGATTATGTGAATGTTGCTTGCCTGATCTAGTTGCTGCAGGATGATTAAAATACAGTACAATCAGACGGTTTACATCGAGATTCAAATCGATGGTTGGTATAAATAATTTAAATTGAGTCCTGTCGGAGAGTCTGGTTGTTAATATTCACAACTAATATCTCGCTGGTTTCTGCTGCACGGGATGACAGTGAAGGGAAAATATATTATTACCTCAATATCCTGTGACATGTCTGGGGATGTGGAAGGAGGAAGAGAGAGAGAGAGACAGAAAGCGATAGGTAGGACGTGCATGGAAACAAGGTTCTCGTGAACAAACACATTTAATAAAATCAGCAAATACATTTTATGTGATAAAACAGTAAATGTCCTAATGCGAGCACATCATCTTGAGCTTATATCTCCTATCCAAAATATCACATCATTGTTGCTGGCAATGAAAGCTGCATCTCTGTTGATGATTTTCGTGGAGAAAGAGGAATGGGACTAATTGGAAATCTCTTTATAGAGCTACAGGATTCTATAATTCTACAGCATAATGTCCCACTTTCCTGAGCCTTTTTATAGTGTATTTTAGGGGGGCATGGAAATCTAAGGTACAGCCCTCTTCACTCAAAGATTAGTAAAAATATTGATAATAATTTGGTCCCTCAACACACAACAGTTTATGAGACGCTGCTGTACGCAATTGGCTGCCACGTTTTACCCACAAAATATACAGTCCATTCACTTTACTGTTTATTCAGTGAAGCGCTTTGAAATGTCTGGAAGACATCATAAGATGCTGTATCAAATGGAAAGATTATTATGAAAGAACTCTACAGACCAAGTTAAATGTCAGCATTCGCTGGGGGACTAAGAAATATTTAATTACCCAGAGGAACAGGTAACCAAGAAGTGTGATTGAGGTCAAGACACTGGACTTGTTTGAAAAACAGCTCAATGCATTAAGGAGAGGATCCGAGAGAGGATTCTGTAATAATGAGATCAAGTGGGCCTTCTTCGTCTGACCCTTTTATGATCTTGTAAAAGAGCACAAACACACACACAACATTCACAAACATTTCAAAGAGGATAAAGAATATTCTTCAGATGTTATTAAAAAAAACTCTATTCCAAACATTTCCTTGTGTCGCAAGATAATGCAATTACATGATGTAATAATGTGGTTTCGTGATTAAACAGAATGGCAGCTTTTAAATGTGTAATTTGTTTTTGGAGTTCAGGCTATGCACAGTCTAAGTGTAGCATGAAAGTTTAAAAAAAAATACCTGAAGGGCAAACACGCAATTGTTTGACCAAATGCTAATGGAATTTCATTTTGATTTAAATTCATATTTTTTATCACACAATGCGCAGATGTAATGGAAATGCATTACCATGCTATCAGATCTGTTTTCACGGTGGTAGATTTACGTGGTTTTCTAAACCAACTTGTGGCTTTGAATTCCTGCATTTCCAACAAAAAAAAAGCATGAATCAATGTATACACCTTCAAACTTCCGACAATTTACTTTGTACAAAGGTGTCAGCCTGGCTCAGTTGGTAGCTCTCTCTGAGTGAAGATACATGAACTCACATAATCTCGGCTGACACCTCAATGCAGTGCTGAGTTGTTGCAGGAGCTGTAATTTGTTTGAGGTGTTAGAGAGGTCCTGTTTGCCTATTCAGGTGGATGTTAAAAAGAGAAGGGAGTTTTTTCTGGTGTCCTCTGGGACATGAAAAGGGTTATATCAAATGCAAGGATTCTTGTTTACATGATTGGCCATACTTTGCTTGAAAAGAACTTAAAATAAATCATAATGGTAAAAATTGCGCTTTTTTTGTTAAAAGATTAATTAGATATTTTATTTCTATTAGAGCTGTGGTCATTGGGTCCTAAAATTCCACACAGCTGCCCCTGAAATGGATTAGTTCCATTAAATCTATTTACAACTACCATTTTCAAAGTGTTGTTCAATCTTTTGGAAAAAAAATGCTTTGAAGTAGGCAGCTGAGTTAAATTTCCATTTACTCTAAACAAATTGGCTCTCTAATTTAAAATGTTCATTTAAAAGGCTTTTGAGTATCATGAACTGAAAAACAACAGATGAAAAACTGCAAGCTCGGGCTACGCACTTGATGCAATATATTTTGAAAGGGCAAAAACATTCTAATTAATCTTGCTTTTGCCAATCCACGTCAGCTTTATCATCTTTGGTTCATAAAAAGATTTTTAAAACAAACAAATGCTGGAAATCTGAATTGTCAGTAACTTACTGTAAAGATTCCATTACAAAATAACAGAAATGTCTCTCAGATTGACAAATTGGCTTGGAGAAATCTGAAGGCAGATCTTTGATATTTAAATCTAATTAAGGGGAACAATGTCAAAGTGTGTTTTCCTTTAATGTCATGGAAAATAACTTTTCTAACACTTTTCCTAACTTGGGCTGTTTGTGCCTCGTCCTGTTTGCCTGTTCAGGTGGATGTTGAAGATCCCGTTGTATCCCTACTTAAAGACAAGGGAGTTTTTTCTGGTGTCCTCCTGGACATGAAAGGGGCTATATCAAATGCAAGGATTCTTGTTTACGTGACACACTTTACTTGAAAAGAACTTAAAAGAAACCATGGCCAAGCTTTTGAATTCTACAACCCTCTCCTCTGGAAGTGCCTCCCTCTACATCTCCTTTCTACCCCCTTTCTACCTGTGTTTAAGGCTTGCCTGAAAAACTACCTGTTTGACTACACATATGGTCACCTTCCCCTTCTCTGCTTCTAGGCATCTGGCCTTCAGAGATTGACTTTGGTTATGAGAAAGTATTTAGAACATGACCAGTGCATACTTCATGGGCCGAATGGCCTGTTTCTGTGCTGTAATGTTCTGTGATTCTAATTTAATGAATAAATTATGTTACTTAACAAGTACAATCTTTAGAATAGAAACTAAATATTTAAACCTCAAGCAATACCTGCGTTTGATGCCATATCTCATAGTCTTTGTCCTGGTAACTGTAAAGAGAAGGAACTTCTGTCAATCTAAAAAGCAAAATACAAGTAATAGAAAGATATTTCATTTCCAACATAAATTCCCAAACTTAACATCATATTATGTCAGGTACGACCGGAAACCTTACGGGCTTTCAAAAATGCACTAATAGATGAATTAGCAACTTAATGAACCAGACTTGGGTACATTGGGTACTTTTTAAAAGTTATATTTAGTACGACTTAGTGACTTTCAAAAAGAAAGAAAACTAGAAATGAATAATGCTTTTGTCTTGTGAGGTATATCTCTGGTGTCACTTAGTAGTTTATTTTGCCTAAGACCACTGAGTCTCATTATATGAAGCCTCTCATTATTGTATATGTGCCAACATGATGCCTTTAATTGTTTTCTGTAGATTGCTTTGTATAATTAATTTGATATAACTCCTTATTACGTCGTCCAAAAAAGCAGGTCACAGGGTTTTTACTGTTAATGTATATGTAAGTGTAGTTCCCTGTATAAGTGAATTTGGCAGTTGATTTGCACACAATAATGTCCCACAAACAGCCATGATGTGAATAAACAATTATATCAGGGAGATTGATGGCCAGAATGCCAGAACAAATTCCCTTCTCTTTTTGAATAAGGCATAGAGATCTTTAACATCCACCCGAATAGTTAATGGAGACCTTGATTTAACATCTCATCCAAACTATGACAACTCAACAATGTAGTGCAGCGCAGCACTGCATTGGATTGTCACCTTAGACTATGAGCTTAAAGTTCTGATGTGGAGTTTGAACCTACCATTACTGGTGAAGGGCTTTGAGACTTCTGCCACGTGATAAAGTCCAAAATTTTTGAAAAACATTTTTATAAACCAAATGGATAACTTGACTGGTTTCACTAACTCCAGAGCATCGAGCAGCACATCCTTTATACACTGTACTGATATTGAACATATTACAGTATTATTTATAAAACAAGTATAAAGGATTTTCAGATTATATCAAACAGGAAAAGATTCCATGAAGAACGCGGACAGAGTATCAGTAGATATTTGCACCTGCAATCACACTCCTTATTATTAGGAGCGAGAGAGATTGAGACCTGAACTTAATTGAATTGAAACCACAAGTGCCATAAATTGGGTCATTCAAGATATCCTTGATTTATAGTGGAGTCCTGTAGCTCAGTGGTTAGAGCACTCGCTTTGCAAGTGAGAGACCTGAGTTCAATTCCAGGCAGAGGGCGAAACCTTGGGCAAGTTTCCTTACTCCACACAGAGCCTAATAATAATCCCTCCAAAACCAAAAACAATAATAAATTGGTCATTTTCAATCCACGACTGTTTGTGGGACATTGCTGTGCGCAATTGGCTGCCGCGTTCGCCCACAAATATACAGTCAATTCACTTTACAGTGTGTTCTGTGAAGCGCTTTGGGACGTCCTCCCGACGTGAAAAGCGCTATATCAAATGCAAGGATTATTATTATTATTATTATTATTATCCTTACAATGCCCAATTTTTGAATCTTCAAAGTACAGTATTAATGTAAATTTGTAAATTTAATTCACTCAACTACCTGTACAGTACTATTTACCTTTAATCCAGTGCCACTGTGATACCTTTTGATGGAAATTAATTCTAAGACCTTTTATTCTTTACATGAAATACCTCGCGCTAATGTGTAATTATTTTTGCATCAGTTGTTAAATCTTAAACTTTGAATTTCTTGGGGTTACATTTCCGCTGGTCAATAAAGTTACCCATTTGTCACTATGTGCTTGTAATGAGATTTTCCCAATTATGAGTGCCCTCTGGCGAGGGTCAGTAACTTTTATTGAAATTCATTCTACCTTTTGTACTTTGATCAAAGCTGTTTCTTAGCATTAACATGACATGGAAACCAGTTGGCTGAACAAAGTCTAGCACTACGATAATTTGAGTTTTAATTAGCTTTTTGTCTGACTTAAATTACTTGTAGCAAAGGGATTTTTCTAGTCTGTTTTCTCAATTTGAGAATTTTTTTGTTTACGTGCTAAATGCTATTCTGCTCCATTCACTAAACTTAGCAAATGTTTCACTGTGATCTTACAAATAACTGTAATATTACTTTAGACATGGATTTAATTTTACATTTTCAGAAACTTATTTACAATTTCATTCCTGTTCTTTATATAATCCATTTTAACAAATGTTCTGATTTCAGCCTCTGTTTACCTAGCAGTAAGTAGGAAACCGGTAGTTAGTCCATTGGTGGATCGATTTCCGGGGGTAATATCATAGAATCATAGAATTGTGTAGCACAAAAAGAGGCCATTCGGCCCATCGAGTCTGTGCGGCTCTTTGAAAAGAGCAATTAATGTCAATCCCACTCCCCAGCCCTCTCCCCAAACCCTGCAAACCTGTCCTCCTCAAATACCCGTCCATTTTTTAAAAGTAGTTACCGAATTGGCCTCGACCGCCCTTTCAGGCAATGCGTTCCAGATTCAAACAACTCGCTGCGTGAAAAAAAATATTTTCACCTCCCCTCGGCTTCTTTTAGAGACTATTTTAAATCTGTGACCTCGAGTCACTGACACACCCACCAGTGGAAACAGTTTTTCCCTTTCTAACTACCTTTAAAAAAATCTGGTCAGTCAATCCACAACTGTTTGTGGGGACGCCTGTGTGCAATTGGCTGCCGTGTTTTGCCCACAAATAAACAGTCAATTTACTTTACAGTATATTCTGTGACGTGATTTGAGACGTCTCGCTCATCTCAAAGCACTCTGGGATGCGACCCCGCGTGAAGGGTGCTATATAAATGCAAGTTGTTGTTGTCTCAGTCACGTGATAAGGTGCTATATTAAATGCAAGGATTATTATATTTCATTATTTGCTATGTAGAGAAAACAGCTTGTAATAACCTGCAAAGTCTCTGACAAATTATTATTACAGAAGTGTGATTTTCAGCTTTATCTACTGATATACACTTTGCTGCGTGCATATTGGTTTTGCTAACTTTCTGTCAGGGAAGAGTAGACAGAAGCCAAATTAGATAATGAGTCCTGAAATTTAAATGGGTTTATGTCGAGAGATAAAATTAAATGTGTGCTGATTTGCTGTATGATGGCATTAGCAAGACACATATTATCGAGGTTATCAGCACAATAGTAGCAATAAGACTTATCAAAATTCTACTTTCTGATCTATCTGCTGACATGTGGATGAGATCACTGCAAGCAAATACTGCATGGACCATAGGCATATATTGATTGTGTTCTATTGAAAGTCTTCAGCTGGGATATCTGCAGTTTGGATTACTGTTTCTCTTTCTGCACCATTGAATCGAATAAGCATAACTCAGCTCACCTAATTCCACCTTATATAAAACCACGTAGAGATGACAACAAAAAACTACAGTAGCTGGGATTTACAGAACAAGCACGATTCAGTAACATGGGTACAGGAGGAGGCCATTCAGCCCTTGGGGTCTGTTCCTTAATTTATTAAATTATGGCTGATCTGTTCCTTAACTAATCCTTTCAATTCCAATTTTCCTCTTTCTCCCCATATCCCTTAATCCCCTGACCTACCAACAATCTATCAACCTCACTCTTGAAGGTGTGGATGGATCCAGCTGAAGGTGTGATCCATCCACACCTTTCATTCCAATTACTTATGCCTCAATGCTAAATTTCCTTTATTTTTTAAAAATGCTTTGTTTATTCTGCGGAAGCAATATTGTTTTCAGCAATAGAGTGCTACGATATTCTGCTTACCTCACAAACCAGTCATACTGTGTGAGGAGGTGCACATTAGAGCCAACGAGAAAGATTGGATAGTGACCTCCATTATTACTACTGTTGTGTATCTGCTGGCAAATTGGTATGGGATATGGGGAAAAGACAGGCAAATGGGACTCTTTAAAAGAGTCAACACAAACACGATGAAGCCATTTTTTTTAAATAGGGCTATAATTTTCAGTAGAAAGCATGATTACGGAATCTTTATCCTGGAGTATTCATTTACACGTCCTCTAACTTCATACTTCTTCAAGAAATACGTACCTGCCGATGCCAGTTGCAGCGTTCTTCCCTTTGTTCGTCATGGGCAGTTCTGACGAGACCTTCTCCTTTTTGGGCGCTGTGTAAAACCTGTACTTAGAAAGAAATGACTTGGCTGTTTTCTTCAAGATTCTTGGAGTGAAGGGCTGGCTTTCTTCCGTAAAGCATTCAGCATGTTTATCAAGAATATCTCCATTAAATGTTTTCTTCTGAGGATCTTGAAAAGGTTTGTTCATCAGACGTTGGTCTACAGAGGGTACTGGGTGGCTGAATGGAGTCACTAGTCTCCTGAGGCTGCTTGTTTTGTACTGTGTACGGAGTGGTGGAGCACAGTGAAGAATATCCTGCACAACATCTCTGGCAATCGCAGCAGCTGAGGGAAATGGCAAGGGACTTCTGCAAGGAGACAGACTAAAAGAAGTTTCCTTTTTTGGGCCCAGAAACTCTGCACTTGTTTGCTTTGGTGGCACATTATGGCCCGAGGTACTGGGTGATGTTTCTCGATTAGAGACCGTTCTATTCACAAAAGACATCTCTTTTGCAGAAAAATTCTACGAGAGGTGAAAGGAAAATGGATGAGAAGAAATTAAGTGAAAAGGAGCGAATTGAATCTTGGTTAAACTCTTACCTTGTACAGTTAATTCAATCCATTTTTTTTAAAAAAAGCATTCAATGGTTATCTATTAAAAATGCAAATATTATTGCTGGAAACTTTATTATTTCTGACAGCAACAGAGCTGAAGCCCAGATTTATAGGGATGAGTTATGAGGAATAAAAGAGTGAGGTTTAAAATGAAAAGACTCAGAGGCAACCAAATATATACTGTAGATATAACAACAACAATTTGTATAGCGGCCTTCACACGGGTCCATGTCAAAGAGCACTGCATATGTAAGTGTGTGTGTGTGTGAGGGGATGGGTGTGTGTGCGCGTGCGGGGTGTGCGCGCGTGCGGGGGTGGTGTGCGGGGGTGGTGTGCGTGTGTATTTGGGGGTGTGTGTGTATATTATGTGCACATATATCAAAAAGTGAACCCAGAAAGATACTTTCAAATAAGCAGCAGGACATGAGAACACAGGGTCAGGATTGCGAAGGACAAATCAATACATTTTTATACCAACAGTTTTTTTACATTAACAGCTGTACCGGGTGTCAGGAATGGCGGAAGACTCCAAGACATAACTTAATTCAAAAAGCAGCTTGCTGTTATTATAGGAAAACAACATGGTTAGGTGTTCTGGAAGGATAAGGTCAAATGGACCAAAGGGCTTTCTTCATCTGAAGTTTCTTGTGATCCATGAATTACCACTTAATATTCCAAATATGGAGTCATGTGGCTCAGTGGTTAGAGCACTTGCCTCGCAAGCGAGAGACCTAGATTTGATTCCTGGACAGGGCAGAAATATTGGGCAAGTTTCCTTACTCCACACTCCTCTGTTTACCCAGCAGTAACAACAACAACTTGGATTTATATAACGCCCTCCAACCGGACAGCGTCTCAGAGCTTCACAGTAGCGGATCCCGGGGCCGAGCTCGGGGGAGGGGGAGGAAGGTGACCAAAGGCGCAGTCGAAAAGAAAGGTCTTCAGCAGAGACCTGAAAATGGGAAGAGAGGGGGCGAGGGAAGGGAGTGAGGAAGGCAGTTCCAGAGCCTTGGGGCATAGTGGCTGAAGGCACGGCCGCCAAGGGTGGAGCGGAGGACTCGAGGGACGAGGAGGAAGCCAGACCCGGAGGAACAAAGGCAACGGGTACTGTTGTGAGTAGAGAGGAGGTCAGAGAGGTCGGGGGGTGCAGAGGAGTGGAAGGATTTGAAGACAAACATGAGGATCTTGAAGTCAATCCTCTCTGGGACAGGAGCCAGTGCAGTCTGGCAAGGACTGGGGGGATCGGGGAGCGGAGTTTCGTGCGGGTGAAAATGCGGGCAGCAGAGTTTTGAATGGTTTGGAGTGTATGGATGGTATTGGAGGGGAGACCGGTGAGGAGGGCGTTAGAGTGGTCCAGCCGAGAGGTGACAAAGGTATGGACCAGGGTTTCAGCGGCTTTTGGGGAGGGGTATTGGCGGAGACAGGCGATGCGTCGGAGGTGGAAGAAAGCGGTGCAGGTGAGGGACCGGATGTGGGGGAGGAAGGATAATTGGGGGTCGAATCTGATGCCTAGGTTGCGTACGGGAAGTAGGAACCCGGTTGTTAGTGGATTGGTGGATCGCTTTTCCGGGGGTAACGGAACACTGTCTCGTTTCGCCCACAAAATATACAGTCAATTCACTTTACAGTATATTCTGTGTAGCAATTTGAGAAGTCTCGAAGATGTGAGAAGGCGCTATATCAAATGCAAGGATTATTATATACTCAGTGTGCAGGAAGTGACATTGCCCCAGGCACTGGTTATTTTTTTCACAATGAAAATATTTGGACGGTGCAATTTAGATTTTCAGGTAAGAAATTGTTGGGGTCCACAACCCAATCATGTTATAAGTGTGTTGTTTAACAGGGGTATCCTTTGGTAGCAAAAATGTCTCGCGCACTATCTGATCCAGAGGTAGGAGTGGTACCAACTGAGCCAGGCTGAACCACACATATTTGCGTGGGAAATCACATATATATCATGATGCCCCACGAGACCTCAGCTCTGAACCGATATCACCTCTCAGCCAAGTCCTCACTATTTAGATTGTTTTTTTCCTGATGAGAGTTTTTTTTTAACAGTGGATCAAAGTCATGAATTAAGGTTTACTTACTATTCCTGTTTTTGGAGAGAGTGACATGTGATTGATTGGGGATGTGGAACGAAGGTGAAGAATTTCCTTCTGATACATCCTTACTGCTATTTTAAGCTTCTCCCTTTTTTGCTGATCTTTATCTGTGAAATAAGAAAAGAAGTTAGAGGAATATGGTAGGGAAGGAGAATATTTTCCTTTTGAACAACCCTGATTTATGATTTGCTTTACTATAACAGACTTGGGCTTTCACAATGTTAAGTGCAAATGAATTTTAGATGGGTTTGCAGCAGTAACCAGGCACAATTAATACCATTTCAATTGGAAATCATTTTTGTGATAGTCAGTAAATTGAACCTTCTTGTAGCTAGATTTCTCCTTATCAGCTTCCAGACTTGTTCAAAATTCATTCCTGAACACAACTGCAGTACACCTTTTTCTGGGGTGGTCTGGTCTTGGTTCTCTGAACATATATTACCCTTTAGTCCTCAGATAATCTTATTCAAGCTGCAAATTGTAAACATACATATTTTAACTAGTATTTCAGATCTTATGCCTGTGTGTTAGAAGAGGTGTAAAAAGTCATAAAGGCTGAATAATCACAGTATAAATGCCAATAAAACACCACCATTCTTAGGATAAATGGATCCACTCCCTAATAATTGGCTCAAATAGCTTTAATTCATCTGCCAAATTATGTGATATAAATTCTACTTATTACTAAGAATGCCTAAAGGAACATAGATACCAAGATACAAAGAGTGTTACTTTCTGACTGGGATTAGCTCAGCATATCAACTATCAACACTTGGAAGATAACCTACTGAGTACAAGTGCAGATTTAGCACAGAATGTACTTACATATTGTTTATTTCGCAAAATATTAGTAGACGCAGCAGTACAGACATTCTGTTTAAAAATCTACAGGGATTGTTCATACAGGAGAACATTCTTTTGAGCTGCTCATCATGATACATAGTGAATTCAATTCTTTCTGACTAGATGTCAGCCTGGCCCAGTGTCAGAGAAATGAGTTTTGAGCAACAATTTGACGAGCTAGGGCTCTTCGGTATTGAGAGGGAATGTCTCAGAGGAGATCTTATAGAGATGTATAACATTTTAAATGGGATTGAAATCCGGAAAAATACTTTAGGGTGCACCAAGACAGAAGAACACGAGGGAATAGGTTTAGATTTGCGAAGGGCAACTTTAGGCAGATACCAGAAGGTTTTTCTTTGCCAAGAGGGTAATCAATGACTGGAACAGGTTGTCAGGAAGGGTGGCTGAGGTCAGGACAGAGGGGCATTTAAAAAACAGCTTGATGCTGTGATGGGAGGACTGTATAAAGACAGGGTCAGACACCAGGGAGGGGTAGGTCCATTTATGCAATGACGTGTGTTTTCTGGCCATAACAGCATAATAATAATAATAATCCTTGCATTTGATATAGCCTCACATCGGGAGGACGTCCCAAAGCGCTTCACAGAACACACTGTAAAATGAATTGACTGTATATTTGTGGGCGAACGCGGCAGCCAATTGCGCACAGCAATGTCCCACAAACGGTCGTAGTTTGAAAATGACCAATTTATTATTGTTTTTGGTTTTGGAGGGATTATTATTAGGCTCTGTGTGGAGTAAGGAAACTTGCCCAAGGTTCGCCCTCTGTCTGGAATTGAACTCAGGTCTCTCGCTTGCAAAGCCGAGTGCTCTAACCACGGAGCTACAGGACTCCATGGGCAGTAAGTACACCTGACTGCGGCTCACACTAACAGGCAGACTCAACTAATAAAAAAATTATTGATGACGTGAAGTGGGAATATCTTATGGCCTTGGTCAAGGAATAGTAATTTGTTCCTTGTGCTTATTAGCACCAAATGATTGATTACAGGCTATAATTAATTGCATATTGTGTCAGGGAAAGGGAAAAACAGTGCCAATAATAATTTATGTCTGACTGAAAACCAACCTGACATCAAGGGAATAGAGAACATAGTGTACTGATTGTCATGTGGTAAATACAATGAGCCTGGTAACAGGGACTATAGTTACACAACAAGCAACAGTCAGCCACAGAAATAAACCGTTTCAGCCTTTGACATTTAGTAACAGCAAAAGTCAACCATAAGGGTTTGAACACTTCCAGATAACATTAACTGTGATGCAAAATAGTCAATTCACTTTACAATATATTCTGGAAGTGCTTTGTGATGTCTCAATAACGTGAAAAGGCGCTATACTAAGCACAAGGATTTATTTATTAATTATCAGACACTGTTGGCTGGAAAAATCTTATGTGAATATAATATTAATTTAGGTATTAATTTAGGTATTCCTAGTGTGATGACATTATTTATACCATCTTCTTAGTATGATGAGATTATTTATGACAGCACATATTAAGGAACGTAACAGGGTTTCATAGAAAAAAGACTATCCGGTGAGGACACTTGTTAAAAAGCAGCAGTATTGTCAGCTGTCGCTTTTCTTTTTTCCATCCCTGACATTTTCCTCCAATTTCTTCCTCGTCTACCTCTAAGTAATGAATGTGAATTGGTAATTGACAAAAGGAAAGGAATCAGCAGGACTCTTCTAAAGTCATCACTTTACTTTGCAGTAAGTAGGAACCTGGTTGTTAATCAATTGGTGGATCACTTTTCCAAGGGTAATAATCCGTTCAAAAAAAAATAATAATGATAATTTGATCACATAATCCACAACTGTTTTTGAGACACTGCTGCTGTATTTTGCCCGCAAAATATACAGTCAATTCACGTTACAGTATACCTTGTGAAGCGCTTTGAGACATCTCGAACACTTGATAAGGCGCTATATCAAATGCGAGGATTAAATGCAAGGATTATTATTATTCTTGATTCAAGTTGCTTTCAAGCACCCCGCAGGCCATCTGGCATGAAAGTCACTATATAAATGTAAGTTGTTGTTCTTTTTCTTAAGGGGAGTCCTTTGAGGGTGACATCAGCCACTCTTCCTTCTGGGTACCACATTCCAGCTGTTGATTATCCTCTGTGCAAAGGAATATTCCCAGGTCTTTTTTATGCCCTAAACTTGTCCTTCACAACCCTCAACCTGTGCCTCAGGTGTAAATGTTGGGACTGACCGCCTTGGTCCTGATACACAAAAACAAACCATTCAGGACAGAAGAGTCCTAGCCAATCCAGAAATACCTCACGGCTCATGGACCTAGTTTGGGGCATTGTGGCTGAATGCATGGCCGCCAATGGTGGAACGGAGGGGACAAGGATGAACAGGAGACCGGAGCCAGAACGGAGGCAGCGGTTGGGGTGTAAGGTAGGGAGATGTCAGGGCATGAAGGGATTTGGAAACGAGAGAGAGGATCTTGAAATCGATCCATTCGGCAATAAGGAGCCAGTGGAGCCCAGAACAAAATTAACTATATAAGATTGGCCCCTTTTCATGTTGTGTTGGCACTCATTTAATAGATTATTTTCCTGTGGATTCTGTTATTCTTCCAATTCCTAAGGACATACAAATGGGACTGTCGTTGCCAGGTATTGCTCTCTGAGCCTTTCTGAAAATTAGAACCAGACTTGCTTGGTTCCAGTCTGTCAGAACCACTCCAGTGCTCATTGATTCTCTCAAATTGAACATCAAATTGCTTCACAAATCGACACCACAGACATACACATGTGTCTGCACTACTGAGGACTAATGCAGACTTCCCATTCTCCTGAACAGCCTCCAACCAGGAAACAGATACATATCCTGACCCTAACTCCTCCATGTAACAGATATTGCACAAAATATACAAGTCTAATCATCACCGTATTGCAGACAGCCAGACACCCTCCAGTTGAAAAACTAGTGTTTAAAAAAATTATTCTGATAAATTGAACCATTGTTTTTTTTAAGAATACTTTTATTCTTTTGTACATCTGCAGATGAGAACAGTTTGTTGAGCACTTAATATGATAACAAAACAGAATAGAAACATATTTTGTTCTGTTTATCTGCATTAAACAACCAGGATAACTTGAATATTTTGAAAACATGCAAATTGGACACAGTTCATGTATTTGTGCATTTATCTAAAATTTGACTATTCAGGTTCCTTGTACGCTTTATTGTGACTCTTTGAAAGAGCTATTCATTCATCCTATTTATTTGCCTTTTCCCCTTAAGTCTTAAATTCCAACAAAGTACTTGGCTAACACTAAGCAGTCACTATGTAAATAATCTCTTTTGTGAAGCGCTTTGAAAGATTCCCATAATGATAATAATAATAATCCTAGCATTTGATTTAGCGGCTTATCGCGTCATTGAGAAGTCTCAAAACGATTCACAGAATATGTTGTAAAGCGAATGCTGCAATATGCGACTGTGTATTTGTTGGGCAAAACGTGATAGCCAGCAGTATCCCACAAACAGTTGTGGATTATTACCTCCGCCAATCGACTACGAAAGTGATCCACCAGTCGACTAACAACCGGGTTCCTACTTACTTTACAGTGTGTTCTGTGAAGCGCTTTGGGACGTCCTCCCGACGTGAAAAGCGCTATATCAAATGCAAGGATTATTATTATTATTATTATTACTGTTAGGTAAGCTGAGGCATGTGGAGAAAGGAAACTTGCCTAAGGATCTTCCCTGCCCTGAAATCGAACCCGGGTATCTCTCGCTTGCGAGGTGAGAGCGCTAAACACTACGCAATGGGATGTGATAAAGTAACGTAAAAATATAAATTTCTAAGTTCTTTTCTGCATGGCATTGGGTTTTAATTAATGATTAATGACCTGAACTAGCACCATGCTGTATGAATTAAGCGTGATGTAGCCACAAATGAGTTTTAGTGTAATTAGAATGACTAATACAATTTAAGACAGCTCATAAAAATAAAAATAACTACTTACACTTAATGCTGGCAGACATGCTTTCTGGTTCAGAAGAATCAACAGCAGCTGAAATATACCCAAACAAAATGAAAATAGTGGATACTATGCTTCAGTAACAACACCATGTCATATATTTCCCTGCAGCGATAAATGACCATATGAAAAATAAAATGAAACACAAATATACCATACAGCAACAATGACCCTAACCTTTGGAACTCCTTCCCTATACCATTCCAGCTCACCCCCCACTCCCACCTCTCTATCCATCCTTAAATCCTGCCTAAAAACCTAGCTCTTCAATCCCACCTATAATCAGCTCCTTCTTCTTTTCTCTGCTTTTACCTGACCCTGTCTCTGTCAAGCTCTCTGACAAGTTTTTCTTCGTGAAGGGCCCTATACAAATGGGAGCTGTATTTGTTGAAATATGCCTCAAGTGCAATTCTAGGCACAAGAATTAACGGTGACGTTTTCTACACAGTGCATCTGAAATTATTGCAGCAGTTTACACTCAATAATTCTAACCATATTCTCTGATTTTGTTTTGCCAATTTTCTCCCCTCTTTTTTGTTGGGGGTCATGGTTCAATAGGCAACGCCGGCCCTCTATTATCCCCTCCAATTCTTCACATAACCCTCAAAGAGATATTTGGGAGAGATTTACAGATGAGCCTGATCCGATTCTCAACCTAACGTCAGAACAGCCCGGGGCATCTGATGGGCATATGAACAAGGCAGAATACATCTGATAGATGCCTATTCATAAAAGGGGTGCCCTGAATTCTGTGCAACTGAAGCAGTGTTGTTGAATTTACCCCACTTAATGCTAACAAATTATAGGGAATGTATTGTTGACACTGTATATACTGTATATATATGGTATGGTAGTTAGTACCATTGTCAGAAGCAATAACAGCAATCTCTCAAAGCTTTTCAACATCAACACATTTAATTTGTATACTGCCTTTCATGTCGGGAGGACGTCCCAAGGCACTGAATTTGAAATGTATCATTCGGTTGAATGTTTGGGCAGGATTTGGAAACATTAGGGTTTCTGGATACAAAGAGAGATATCTTTCAACAACATTCATATCCACTCCAACCCATTAACAAATCTGCAACATTTGTATACCAAATCTTTGCTAAATAACACAGATCCTCATAGCCACGATTCTGTTGGTTAGTAACATATAACCTTAAATATTTAGAGTTCAGAGTTTTATTATGCAATACAAATACAATACAGTTTACTTTTATATAACACCTTTCAGGTTGAGAGGATGTCTCAGAGCTACTGGTTGAGCACCAGAGTTGGGTTAGGAGATCTTGGTTGTTGAAGAGGGTGGCAGGGGGGAGATGACTGAAAGTGCGGTCAAAAGAGGTAAGTCTTGAGACGGGAGGGGGCGGGTTGGAGGGGCTCTGGGATGGAGTTCCAGAGGATGGGAAGATAAGGTGGGGGAGATCAAGCAGGTGATTCTCGCTGAGAACAGAGAGCAGCCAGGTCAGTAGAGTTGTAGCAGTTCTAAAGAAAAATTAGAGGCTCAAAGCACATTTACATAAATGAGGATACATAAGCCATAAGAATTGCCTCCTGTTTCACTGTTTAGTCCTGTGGCTCAGTGCTTAGAGCACTTGCCTCGCAAGCGAGAGATGTGGGAGGGCAAAACATTGGGCAAGTTTCCTTACTCCACACACCTCTGTTTACCGAACAGTAAGTGGGAACCTGTTTTATAGTTGATTGGTGGATCGCTTTTCCGGGGGTTAGGGTTAGTGTCCTTCCAAAAAAAAATAATAAACTGATCAATCAATCCACGACTGTTTGTGGGGACACTGCTGTGTACAATTGGCTGCCATGTTTCGCCCACAAAATATACAGAATTAATTAACTTTACAGTACTCTGACCTGCTGAGTGTTCCCAGTGACGTCTGTTTTTATTTTCAGATTTCCAGCTTCTGCAGTATTTTGCATTTCACTTTACAGTTTATTCTGTGAAACGCTTTGAGACGTCCCGAAGACGCGATAAAGTGCTATATCAAATCCAAGGATTATTATTCAATTTTTTTTAGTATAGGCTAAAAGAACACTATAACACTGTGTCACAAAAGAATGACCTTAAAATTAATTGAGTGATCTTCAGACTTTTACAAGACGGGCATTTGCTCTTGGTGGTTCTGAATAGAATTATTCAATATTGAAGTGCTGGTAAGTAATTGTAGCTAAAGGCTATTTTTAAACTTTCTTTGAGTGTCTGCTACATTACAGAAACATATTACAGTAAAAAGAAGTGCTGTACTGTAACCATTAATTAAGTGCAGTCCAAGCCCTGTTACAAGGCTGTTATTGGATTCCATAAATTCCCAACCTGATCTATAACGAGGTTTGATTGGTAATCAGTGCTCCCGCATTTACTCTTACAAAAAATGTCTGACTTCCTGGTGAAAAGCCGATGTTTTGGGATTTTGGGGGTAAATTAATGGCTGGCTTCACACCCCGGTCATGCAATAAGCAAACCTGTGTTACAGTGAAATGTTTTTCAACAGGATTCCATTGTAATTAACCCTATAACCTCAAACCTAGAATGTAGATGGTTTTATTTTTACAGAAGAAACACTGCAGTCGAGGGTGTGTGTGGGGAAGTGGTGGTGGCAACCCCTTTGATTTATTATGGCTACAAAATCCATTTGATTTGTACTCATTGACTTCTTAGCTGTAAAGGGGGAAATTATGACTATCTACGATTATATAAAATAGCATGAATGTGGCTCAATGTGAACATAGCACCAATACCGAAATCATGAATATTAACCAATCTACAAGAACCACTCACAGCACAGAAAAGGGCTGTTCGACCCTTCATATTGCCTGCATGTCATCAGCAATGTGTGCCAAAGCTGCAGTCTTTATTGATAAATGCGAGTAAAAATCAAACTGAAAAGATACATATTTTGCATTTAGGTTACCTTTGGTTGAAAGTAGTTTGCTATAATGCATAGCCATATGATCTTGAATGATAAACTGTGCAGACAACTTAGACGATGATCCGGAACAAAATGCTTAAAAAAAACCACAACACAGATTAGTAATTAAACGTTTCTTAATCTGACAACTATTGCAACTGTTACATGCAGGTATTTGTGTTTTTTTCTTTAATTGTTTTGTACAGTAAAATTAGCAGCGATTGATTTCCTATGAGGTATCGGGAGAGAGTCTGCCTCTCTAATAACCTTAATAAGCCTAAGCGTGGTCCACAGGATTGTCCTGAAGTGTTTGAACCAAAGTATTGGTATAATATACAATATGATGTCGATATACCTCTGAAACAACCTCCTTCAGGTGGTTTCACCGTGAAATCAAATCAATGGCTGGTTAAACCAAGGCTCCAGTACATCTTTAGATATCATTTTCCGTTTTTAATTTCCTCAAATTTTACTTCTTGTGCAATTTACTCAAAAGACTGGAATACAATTCAATTTTTTATGTTATGCCGTAAGGTACTGCTGCATTTAGGAGCCACAGAAGCATTAAAAGAACATAAAAAGAAGGTGAAAATGTACAAATAACTTAGAAAAGATCTCGGAGGGTGGGTTAGAAAATGCTATGCTTGTTCTTTCGGGATACTCTTATGACATACTGTTGAGCTCAGGCATATTGCTGAGGCAAAGAAGCGGGGGCTTTATTCCACATTTAACCATCTATTCCATACTGTTCTTTTCTCAAGATTTTCCTCTTGAATCGTGTCTTTATTCATTTTTCCCCTCAGCCCCCACCCTCAGCCCCCACCCTCAGCTTGTGTGACAAGCCAGGACTATCAAGCTTTTTGGGGCATCCACCTGACCCGAAATCATTATTGAAATTTAAATGTGTTTTGTTGTATTAATATTATTGTATTATTCTTGACCTAGGTACTTAATGACACCGGTTATGTGAAATGGGAAATTGCTCCATTTCCCAGCACTTATACTAACTTTCTAGTTTTAGTAAGAACTAAAATGAAAGCAATAGCATTGCAAATAATAACTTAAAAATCAATCGCCTTCTATTCCGTCAATCTGCGTGCTGGCCTCATGTAACTATGCGATATTGCAGAATAAGCTACAAAGTAGGACAGCTGGGAGTCTTGTAATTTGGATTGTAAAATTGCAATTCACTCTGTTCGATGCAGTTCAATATGAGTATGACCTTGTAATAAATCACAGGATACATGTGATATTACCAAGAATTTGTCGTACACTTCACTCAGCAGGGCCTGTTATCCCAACAGCAATTCCTGTAGTCCTTAAACACATTAAAACTCCTCATAAGAATAATCCATCATGGATGAACTCTCATGTAATCAACAGGAGTGTACATGTTCTTTATTAAAATCTTAATTGAATATTCACAATCATAAAACACAATTCAATTCTTCACCTCTGAAGATACAGTATTTGCATATTTGTAATAGACTGATGTCAGTCCCTCGTGCATGGGATAATGGGTGCCATATTCCCCATTAAAACCTAATGACCTGCATCTCCCTTCGCTATTTATAATGGTTTATGATAATAAAAATGATAATCCTTGCATTTAGTATTGCACTTTTCATTTTGAGAGGATGTCCTAGAACACAGGATTTACAACCTCTCTATAATTTTTCGATAACAAACAACACAGGAAAATGTAAAAATTATGTTTTCCCCACAAGGCACTGGAACCGGAGAACATCCAAGAATACGTTTTTTTGGGATTTGGATTATGTGAATATGTGGATTATGTGAATTTCTTCAACTGAGCTATTTTTACAAATTAATTTTTAAAAAATGCACGAGATTCAAATGTGCATTGGGAATCCTATTGTGTGTTATCAAGGTTCCTGTGGATAGTTTGACTTGTGTCCCCTCTCTGTTTAACCTACAGCCACCCATTTCACTTGAGATAATATGGTAGCTATTGAATTCTACGAATTTTAAAAAAATGACTTCAACAACAACAATTTATGCTTAAATCCTACCTTTTGCATCAGGAGGACTTTCAATTGTTTCACACATATGTCTGGGAGCCCGGCCTGGGAGGGTGAAGGGTAGCTGGGGGTGGGGGGGAGAAGATGGCTGAAGGTGTAGCCAAAATGATAGGATGTTTTGAAGGCAGAGAGGGAGGGACAACACAGAAGGACTTAAGATGGAGTTCCAGAGAATGGGAAGGAATGGACGAAAGCTCAACTAGCTCAATTATGGGACAGATTGGGTGAAGAATATTAAGCAGGGTATTGTTTGCTGAGTGGAGGTAACGGCTGGAGCAGAAGACTTGTAGGAGGTCACAGAATTCCACAGCGTTTTAAATGACTGTTTAAATCATACTACACATCCTCTTATTAATGGTATCTTGCAATTCTGAGTCCTTCATTTCCAGTATCAAGACTTGTCTTGAAACATTTGTGAAATCATTTCACCCAGTTAAGGCCATAAGATGCAAATAAAACATCCGTTGCAAATCCAAATCCGTTTTCCAATATTTGGCAAACAAACTTTAGATTTATTTATTAAAAGATAAAAAGAGAAAGCAACGAACATTGTATTGGAATGTAAATGCTGTATTTCCTATTTGGGGGTAAATTGTTATTGTGTAAACTCACTGTTCCTGGTAATTTCATTTGTTGATCTGAGACTTACTGCACGCAAATCCCACATATCCTGATACTTACGGCTACTCTTTGTGCACATGTGTCCCTTGAACGGTCCCATCAGGGAGTATTTAGGAATCACGGCTGACTGAAATCCTGAGGAGCAAAGAAAGCAGCAATAATTACTAACTTAGCTAAACAAATCCATTACACCGGGGTTTAAGTCTGAGCAGCCACCAGAAAAACTGAAAAGTGAAGCTAAGTTTAAAAAAAGTGCTTTCTCCTCTACTAACATTGCTCAGATTGTCAAGTTACTTACAGAAATATTTCAGCAGAAGGAAGGCATGTGCTATGCTGGTTTGCTTGTGCCATGCTATAATAATAATCAAAATCCCCACATTTTGGTATAAAAATCTTTACATTTCGACTGTGTCTATGGTCACCTTCCCCTCCTCCCTGCTTGGTGTCATGCTCCATCATTGTTGAACACTTTGGGACACTACCCTCTGTGAGTAGTGCTATATACATGCGAGTTTTTGTTGTAGAACCTTTGAGATCAGGAGGACATCTCAAAGCGCTTCACACAATATGGTGTAAAGTGCAGTGGCTGTGTGTAATTTGTGAGCAAGCGAGACAGCCAATTTGTGCTCATAAATGCCCCGAAACAGCCATGAAGTAAATGACCAATTTTATTTCGGGGATTGTTGGCCAGGACACCAGAAGAGAGAAACTTCCTTCACTAATTCCGTCACGACAAAGTTATTCCATTTCTCTTCTCTTGTCTGGGCCATTTCATACCTTCATTTTTCAAGGGTTTATCTAATAACCTTTTAAATATTGTAATCCATTTACTTCAACAATCCCTTGTAGCAATGTCTTCCACATTCTAATACCAATTTGTGCAAGTAATATTTATTTCACAATCCCCCTCCGTGTTTCTAGTAATAATTTTGAGCTTATGCACCTTTTTGCTGATTCAATAGAAGTGGAAATTATTGGCAGCGATTCACTGCTATAAATGGAGGCTAAATTTATTCGAATTGGACTGGAGCACTACTCCTGACACCACCCAGTGGAGATGTTTGCAGAGATGATTTGTGTCCAGTCAGTATCAATACAATTGGTAAGAATAGGGCTTGTTGTTTCTTGCTGCGTTGCTGTTCTCTTGCTGTGGATACCTGTAGCTCAGTGGTTAGGGCACTCACCTCACAAGCGAGAGACCTGGGTTCGATTCCCCGCAGGGTGTAACCTTGAGCAAGTTTCCTTACTCCACACGCCTGATAATAATCCCTCAAGAAACAAAAACAATAATAAATTGATCACTTCAATGCATTACTGTTTGTGGGACACTGCTGTGCGCAATTGGGCATTTTGCCCACAAATATTTAGTCAATTCACTTTCCAGCGTATTCTGTGAAGCGCTTTGAGATGTCTCGAAGACGTGAAAAGCGCTATATCAAATACAAGGATTATTATTATTAATACATTTGTAAAATAGGTGGCACAGTCCTTGACCTCTGTCCAACTGTTTCTTAAAAGTAAATAATAATGGCCATGGACTTCTTGTGGTATTAATTAATAGCTTTACAGGAGACCTGCTTAACCATAACCCTAACCTGCTTAATTCTGATTTATTTTGCATTAACAACAACAACAAATTACTTGTATAGCACCCTTCACATCGGAAAGATGTCCCAGGATGCTAGACAATTAGGGTTCTTGCACTCGAGCTGGGAGTTGGAGTCAGATGGGGTGGAGGGCAGGAGGCGACTGAAGGCACGATCGAGAGGGGGGAGAGGTGGAGGCATTGCAGGATAGAATCCCAGAGTGTGGAGGCAGCGATGCTGAATGCCCGACCACGAATGGTGGGGTAGGAAGTGCGGGGGACCTGAAGCAGCCGATGTCTGCTGAGCGGAGAAGCGGACAGGCTAATATGGGGTTAGCAGGTCCAAGAGGGAGGGGTGAGCAAGACCCTGAAGGGCCTTAAAGGTAAGAACAAGGGTTTTGTACTCGATTCTCTGAACTGGGCAAGAATGGGGCTGATAGGTTCCCGGAGCCTCGTGCGGTAGAGGACACGAGCTGCAGAGTTCTGAATAATCTGCAGCTTGTGGAGGGAAGAGAGCCTGAGCAGGTAGTTAGTGTAGTCAAGCCGGGACATAATGAAAGTGTGGCTCAGAGTTTCAGTTTTAACCCAGTATCTCACAAGCCACAATTCAAATCCACAGGCGGTAAGTCAACAGGTGGCTTTAAGTCCAATGATTATTACAGAAACGGGGGTAGAAATGGTAGAAACTCCACAACTTTAACAATCTGTATTTATATAGTGCCTTTCACATCAAGTATAGTCTCGCACAAGTGAGGGAGTGGGAGGTGACCACAGACACGGAGGAAGACATTCTTTTTCAACATTTGAAGCCCAGTAGGCAGTTTCACTTGGGTCCGGATAAACTACTAGACTTTCTTAGAATTTTAGAGCGTTCAAAATTTGGCAAATTCTTAAACACATTCTTAATTCTTAAGCTGATTTTCTGCAAGTTATTTTCAAAAATTACAGAGAAATGGCTTCAAAACGATGGCAGCATTTAAGAATTTGCAAAATTCTGGGCACTTTGAAATGCTGCATAAACAGAGTAAATCTAGACCCAGGTGGAATTGAATGTCACCATTTTTACCTGTTTAATTGTAATCCTGAAACATTCTGGCAAAATCAGACTTGTTATTTAAAAGCATCAATAAACATACAGGTGTGTCTTATCTATACTAATGTCTAAGCTTCATACAAAGAAAATAACATGGTATATTAAGCAGAGTCCACCTCTGCATCAATGCTGTCTGACCTTATTTTCCAGATAGTGTATGGAATAGTGACAGATGCAATAAATTCACCGCCTTCTTTGTCACTCTAGCTGACAAGAAGGCAGAACAGAGGTGACAGGATGAGGGAATTGATTCCCGGCTGCTTAAACAGAAACTACTTTAAGATATTTTAGAACTTTTAAGTAAGCAGAGTGGTTCAAATTAAAATAAAACCCCAAAGTATACAGCTTTTCAAAGTCTAGCATTGCACCAATCACTAAAATGGACGATCTTTTTGCTTCTTATTTATAATGATTTTTTATTAAAAAAAAGTAATGGATAGACCATAAAAATAGCAATGCAGTTGCCAATTTGCTTTTTAAAATGATAAACCCACATCAAGGTTCATAGTGCAAAACATCACCCAAGGTGAATCAAAAAGAAGAATGTATTTGTTGGCCAACTATTAAAGTTTGGCGGCCACTGAAGTAAACTATGGTGACCGACAGTGTGTTTACGGTGGAATGCCGTGTGCATTTTCCCACTATCAGCCATAAAGTCAACAACAACTACCACAAAGTGCCATGTGAAAAGCGTCTTTCACGTCGTGAGGACGTCCTAAGGCGCCAGACAGTCAGAGTTTCGGATCCGAGCTGGAGAATGATCAATGTTATCTGGGAGATTGATGATTAGGATACTGGGTACATTCACCCCCTTTTCTTTTTATTGTGTATTGCCTAGGGATCGTCAACATCCACATGAACCTACTTTGAGATATCCTCTCAAAGTAAAATGCACGACATACATGTGAATTGTTTTGTATCATGGAACAGGACCTCAGTTTTACCATCTCATTCGATAGGCAGTAAACAAGGTGCAAGGGATTCAGCTTTGCAATACCCTGTGAGCCAATAAATAGGTAATGATGTGGAGTTTCTCTCCAGATTCATGCAAAACAGGTAAGAGTTTAAGCATATGTGGAGTAATCAGGTCATGTGCTCGTTAATAATAATAATAATCATAATTCCTTTTAGGAATGTGAGGAACTTATTTGGTGTTTCCTTGGGATATCTACTATATAATAATAATAATAAAATAATCCTTGTATTTGATATAGCGCTTTTCACGTCTTCTCAATGTCTCAAAGCGCTTAACAGACTTATTAGAGCCGCAGGAATAGGTAACGTATTCAAACACATTTTTAATTGTTGGGTAGAGATGATTTTTTTTCCATATTATTACAGCTAAAGGTGCTTCTGATTTGCTGGAAGTCTGTATTTAGGTCGCAAAACCACTGTCTGATGTTTAAAAAATGTTTCTCGTGAATTGCTTTCTTTCTCATCCCTTCTCCCCCAACCCACCTGCCACAAACCATTCCCCACACATCTGGCACTGATGCTCAGTGACCAGCCTCTGAAACCGAAGCACGAATTGCAGCTTGATACAAATCTCTTCCCCTGCCCTTTTGATGTAAGAGCATTGAACTCACCAGGCACAGAGATTGTATCTGGAAAATTAATGTTTAAACTCCTCACATTACAGTGGAGAGCACGGACTGTGCTTATTATGTTTATATCAATAATAATCCTTCTGTTTGATACAGCGCCTTTCATGTCGAGAGGACACCTCAAAGCGCTTAACAAAATCTACTGTAATGTGCAGTGACTGTGTAGGCTACAACAACAACAACAAGATTCCATTTATAAAGCGCCTTTCACGTCAGGAGGACGTCCCAAGGCGCTGCACAGTTGGGTCATGACCCGAGCAGGGGGGAAATGGTCAGGGTGAGGGGAGGGAAGGGAGGGAGCGAGGAGGGGGGAAAATGGTCAGGGTGAGGGGAGGGAAGGGAGGGAGCGAGGAGGGGGGAAATGGTCAGGGTGAGGGGTGGGAGGGGAGGGAGTGAGGAGGGGGGAAATGGTCAGGGTGAGGGGAGGGGAGGGAGTGAGGAGGGGGGAAATGGTCAGGGTGAGGGGAGGGGAGGGAGGGAGCGAGGAGGGGGTAGAGAGTCGAGAGGGGAGCTGAAGGCTCGGTCAAAGAGAAAGGTTTTGAGACCGGCCTTGAAGGAGGAGAGGGAGGAGGCGGCGAAGGCACTGGGGATAGAGTTCCAGAGCCTCGGGGCTGAGAGGCTGAAGGCCCGACCACCGATGGTCGGGCGATTAGGGCGGGGGACATGGAGCAGACCGGAGCCAGAGGAACGGAGGGTACGGGCAGGTAGGTAGGGGGATAGTAGGTTGGAGAGGTAGGAGGGAGCGAGGCCGTGAATGGCCTTGTAGGTGAGGATGAGGATCTTGAAATCAAATCCCAAATGTTCAGAAATTCTGATATGTTAGTATAAACAGAGCTTAGACGAGAAGATCTGCACAAGACAGACAACCCACAATGTCAACCCATTAATATGTGGAAAAAATATAACTGTTATAAAACAGTTTAGAAGGCAAAAAAAGTGGCTCTCGTGGCTAGGTAAAAAGCTTATTGATGAGGCTGCGTTACGTGTGTCTTGATGGAATTTGCAATTTAAGCGTATGTGGAGTTATCAGGTCGTGAGGTCATTAATAATAATAATAAATCTTGCATTTGATACAGCACCTTATCACGTCTTCGAGACGTCTCAAAGCACTTCACAGGATAAACTGTAAAGTGTAGTGACTGTATGTTGTGGGCGAAACACAGAAGCCAATTGTGCACAGCAGTGTCCCGCAAACAGTCATGGTTGAGTGACCAAATTTATTACATGTGTGTTAAGTTGCATGTAACAACATATGTTTTAGGCTACAAATAATGCCTAGGGCATCAGTTGGCAGCAAAAAAATCCTCAATAACCAGGAGGTGAGTAAGTGAGAGTGTGTGAGCGAGAGAGTGAGAGAGAGAGAGTGTAAGAGTGTGAGAGCGAGTGAGATTGTGAGAGTGAGAGAGTGTGAGAGCGAGAGAGAGAGAGAGCGCGTGAGAGTGAGAGAGCTGTGGGTCTCTCACTCTGAGCTGCTTTTATCATCAGAGAAAAAACAAAAACTGCGGGAAACTCCAAAATCACATTACGAAAGCGGCCACTTCCTTCCTCACCCTCCTCACCCTTTTTACCTTCCTCATCCTCCTCACCCTCCTTACCTTCCTCACCAGGGCTGGTGGCTCCCATGTTGTGAGCGGAGCTGAGGAGCCTCTGAACTGATATAATCAGGAACAGCTTTGGTTCTCGCCCAGTGACTGTCTTGTCAGCCCGGCAGCTTCCAGCCTCTGCTCCCCCACCCCTCCTGAGCTCATTAGCTAACCAGCCAGCTCACTAGCCAGTCCACAGTGCAGCGCTGGGACTCCTGACCAGGTTCTCTCTGTGAAATTGCTTTGCCAACAGCCTTGGATTCTGGTTGCTAAGTGCAAAAGGCGGGGAGCCAGATACTGTGCAGTTTGTGTAAAGCTTTGTGGAACAGACTGCAATGGCCAACTCCCAATCCTCTTCCTCTGTTCCTAACATTACTTTTGAATCCTGTTAGTGTATTGATGGGAGTACTCAACAAAAACAACAACAGATCACATTTGTACAGCGCCTTTCACATCAGGAGGACGTCCCAAGGCGCTGGACAGTCAGGGATCTGCACCCGAGCTGGGGGTTGGGCTCAGAAGGGGTGGAGGGCAGGGAGGGTGGGGGTAAGTGGGTGATCGAAGGGGAAGGTCTTGAGACGGGTAAAGCAAGAGGACCTGGGTTTGATTCCCGGGCAGGGCACCTTCTTTGTTCAATGGTCAGTGGGTAATACTGTGGAGTCCCATAGCATAATGGTTAATGCACTCGCCTCGCAAGCCAGAGGGACCCGGGTTTGATTTTCGGGCAGGGCAAAACCATAGGCAAGTTTCCTTACGCCACACCTCTGTTTACTAGCAATAAGCAGGAACCCGGTTGTTAGTTGATTGGCGGATCACTTTCCGGAGAAGATAATCCCTTCAAAAAAAATGTGGTCACTCAATCAGAAAGTGGGAAGGTAGAGCCAGGCAATGTTCAGAGGGATTATCATGAGACGTACTGTTACAGATTACAGCTTCAAGGATATATGAATATATCAGGGGACATCTCAAAAGAGGCATTCCATCAAGCAAAGCAGCAATTTTCATTACAGAAGCTTGATAGCATCTTGGGAGTCAGGAAGGATAATATTACCCCTCACGGCCTTACAGTTTTTGATTCAATTGTTAGATGTTGATTAAATGTGTAAATTTCCATGTGCAGGTGACATGAATATGTGAAACTCTCTGTCAGGTTTGGATACTCTTAAATCTGGTGATGGGTTTATGCATGTCAGACACAAGGCCGATTAAAAAAAGAAATTAGTTAAATAAAACTATTTTATTAAAGATGGAGTCTCAGTACTTTTTAGAGTTTTTTTTAAAATTATCCACTTTATTTTTAGAAAATGCTATTCTTCCTCAAATAGTTTCTCAATTTATCCCACAAGCAAGAGTTCATATTCCCCTAAATGCAGATGGCTTCATTGATTTGCTGCCAATTGCCTCCTGAACCTTAGCCTCCTCAGATTTTGTGAAGCCTTTGTGAAGTTCTTTCAACGTGAACGGCTCTGTACAAGCATAAATTGTGTTTTGAATGCTCTTGCTGAAGTGTGATTCTTCAGGTATCTTGCCTGCTCCCCTCTAGTATCTCGACCAAGTGACCATTCATCACGTGTGACTGTGACTGGCATTAGGCTATTTCACTATGTGGAGTTTCACAACCTACTGCAGTCCTGTTTTCACCCAATAATCAAATGTACAGAGTTTCTAGCAGGGGGTATTGGATATCAATGGGACCATGGTCGATTTCCCTCCCTTCTCTAGCCTAGGAATCCTGAAGGCACTCATAGGCTTCTAACTGTTACTATCACACAGATGCACATACACTACACACAGTACACATCATTTTACAGTATATCCTGCAAAGCGCTTTGAAGCATCTTGACAACATGATAAGGCACTATATCAAAGGCAGAGATTATTATCTAACTAAGTCAGCGAACACTGAGAATCGATGTGTGATCTTCTGATATGTACTGCTTGGCTTGGTGCCAAACTGATACCCACTGAGCTGTCTTGTCTGATCTGATGGAGCTGCAATGGCTAAATGAACACACCTGCAGCACAAAGAGACTTTTTTTGCACATTCTTAATGATATCAAAGCTTTTCCTGACTTTACTGCATACTTGAACTAAAATCCATTTCAGGATGCTTTGGAATTCAAATTTGTGCTAGATCGCAATTTTTTAAAAGCTTTTGCAGACAATGAAATAAAAATACAACTTGAGCACTCAACCTGCTGTGAAACAGGTGTGTACAGAAGTGTAGTCACTTACCACAAGAAACTGGCACCTCTCAATACAACCACAACAACTTGTGTTTGTAGAGAGCCCCTCATCCCAGAGCGCTTGACAGTGGTGGAGCTGCTCAATCTCAATATAGAATGTGACTGTAACTGATGAATAAAGTAAAAATGCAAAGGCAATTGTACTTGTATTTGGTGAAGTGATTAGCTCCCCAGTCAATAAAGAATTCTAATAAATAGAGTAAACCCCAAATTTTAAGATTTCATCATGGGAATTGCAAATGATCGCAGCCCACCTGAAGGCACACAGAATGAAACTGAAAGAGCTAGATCATATAAAATATCCTATGCAAATGTGAAAGCTATCTCGTCATGTGAAGCAGAACCTTTATTATGTAAGAAAGACTGGAGACAAATTTCTTCATTATTTTTACTTCACAAACCATGTCTTACACACAGTGCAGCCATTGATTTAAAAACGCAAAATCAATAGTCCTGTGTACCAATTCTAACTATACAACACCTGAGGCTGCTTTCTGAAAAACAGAACCTTTGAAAGATTTTCAAGTATGAGGAACAAGGCAACCTGCACTAATGACACACTATGGGGCAGAAGTGGAAACATACAAAGTAAATGAAGAAAAGAAAAAAATAGTAAACAGAATTCTTATCTTTCCCTCTCATCAGTAATAATAATAATTAGTCTTGCATTTGATATAACACCTCATCACATCACGTTGTTAAGGCATCTCAAACGCTTCACAGAATAAATTGTCAAGTGAATTGACTGTGTAATTCATGAGTAAAAATGCAGCCATTTGCGCACAGCAGCGTCCCCCAAACAGTCGTGGGATGAGTGACCATACTTAATCGTTTTTGCAGGGATTTTTACTCTCGGAAAGCAATTCACAAATCGACTAACAACTGGGTTCTACTTACTCCTAGGTAAACAGACCTGGGGAGTAAGAAAACTTGCCTAATGTTTCACCCGCCCAAGAATCGAACCCAGGTCCTCAAGGCTTGCGAGGTGAGTGCATTAACCACTACGCTATTATTACCCACTGACCTTTGAACAAAGAAGGTGAGTTTAACAAGGACTGTCATAAAGTTTATTAAGCAACTCTGAGACCCAACCCTACGTGAAGGCACTATTTCAATGCAAGGTGTGTTGTTTATTCCAGCCATAAAGCTTAACATTTAACTTATTCTATAAGCCAAATAAGCCAGAAGCTGACATTTTGCTTTTGAGAACAGGTAAAGAAATTTGATTAAGTGGAAAGGGGCATAAATAACTACAGCATAGATACACTTTCAAAGGTAGTAACCCTGGTCCACGCCTTTGTCACCTCAAGGCTGGACTATGGGAAATCTCTCCTCGCCGGCCTTCCCGCCACCTCCCTCCACAAGCTGCAGGTCATTCAGAACTCTGCAGCTCGTGTACTGTCCCGCACCAGGCTTCGGGACCACATCACTCCCACCCTCGCTCGCCTCCACTGGCTCCCCATCCTCCAGAGGATTGATTTCAAGATCCTCATCCTCACCTACAAGGCCATTCACGGCCTTGCTCCCTCCTACCTCTCCAACCTACTATCCCCTACCTACCTGCCCGTACCCTCCGTTCCTCTGGCTCTGGTCTGCTCCATGTCCCCCGCCCCAACCGCCCTACTATCGGTGGTCGGGCCTTCAGCCTCTCAGCCCCCAGGGTCTGGAACTCCATCCCCCAGTGCCTTCGCCTTGCTTCCTCCCTTTCCTCCTTCAAGGCCGGTCTCAAAACCTTTCTCTTTGACCGTGCCTTCAGCTCCCCTCTCGACTCTCTTCCCCCTCCTCGCTCCCTCCCTCCCTTCCCTCCCCTCACCCTGACCATTTCCCCCCTCCTTGCTCCCTCCCTTCCCTCCCCTCACCCTGACCATTTCCACCCTCCTCGCTCCCTCCCTTCCCTCCCCTCACCCTGACCATTTCCCCCCTGCTCGGGTCATGACCCAACTGTGCAGCGCCTTGGGACGTCCTCCTGACGTGAAAGGCGCTTTATAAATGGAATCTTGTTGTTGTTGTTGTTGTAGTGATAGTTCATGAGCAGCATTTTCCAAAATGCCCAAATGCTAACATTCAAGTTTGAAGCCTTCCACATTATATATTCCAATTCCGTTGGAAAAGAATATCCTAGAGATGCATAAAATCAATGGGCATGAGCAACAGCACAAATTCTGTAAAGTATCAGACCTAGAATGCTGAGTGCAGTCCAGTTGCCTTATCTGATTATGTCATTTTCATTCCAATGCTGGCAGTTCCAGAATAAAGAAACCAGAACAGATAATAAATAATTCTCAGTTTGTCCATGTTATTATATATTGTTCTAAACTTGTGGTTGACCTGTGATGAAAGGGTCCAGTTTTAAGAGAGAATTGTTACCGTGGTGTGGTGCCCATTTTCTAATGGTTGACCTGGATATTCTGCGTGTGGTTCAGTAATACATGGAAAGCATTACCTGTGCCTGTAGTACACCAATAGGTGTCAAACTGAGATTTCTGATTACAAATTTACCAATGACACTTTCTGTTTACAAAAAGACTTTGTGACAGGGTTTTACGTTATAAAGACATAACAAAAGCATCATTATTTATTATCATTCACTATGATCTATGATGTTTGCAGCTGCAAATGAAAATTGAATGGATATGGTCTTGATTAAAAGGCATGAAGTCTTCTTGTACATCACTGGGCAGACATTTGGCAGTTTGATTGTTTAGTACTGTGGCAAGATTTACTCACTCAAAGTCAAGAATAATCGAAAATGCATACCGACTAACTTGAACATATGGTGGAGGAATATGGTGGAGGAAGCATTATTGTCCCCCAAAAATGCTCTTGTCAGCAAGTTTACCTCAATGTTCACCTCTCTAAGAAAGGAGTCCTTAACTTCCAAGAAGGTCACATAACTTTACTGAATATTCGAAGCATCTGAGCTGCATTTAACTCACACATGGTTTG